GAGAGAGGCAGCAGGCAAGAGAGAGAGGCAGCAGGCAAGAGAGAGGCAGCAGGCAAGAGAGAGAAGCAGCAGGCAAGAGAGAGAGGCAGCAGGCAAGAGAGAGGCAGCAGGCAAGAGAGAGAGGCAGCAGGCAAGAGAGAGGCGGCAGGCAAGAGAGAGGCAGCAGGCAAGAGAGAGAGGCAGCAGGCGAGAGGGAGGCAGCAGGCCAGAGGGAGGCAGCAGGCAAGAGAGAGGCAGCAGGCAAGAGAGAGGCAGCAGGCAAGAGAGAGGCAGCAGGCAAGAGAAAGGCAGCAGGCAAGAGAGAGGCAGCAGGCAAGAGAGAGGCAGCAGACAAGAGAGAGAGGCAGCAGGCAAGAGAGAGGCAGCAGGCAAGAGAGAGGCAGCAGGCAAGAGAGAGAGGCAGCAGGCAAGAGAGAGGCAGCAGGCAAGAGAAAGGCAGCAGGCAAGAGAGAGAGGCAGCAGGCAAGAGAGAGAGGCAGCAGGCAAGAGAGAGAGGCAGCAGGCAAGAGAGAGAGGCAGCAGACAAGAGAGAGAGGCAGCAGGCAAGAGAGAGGCAGCAGACAAGAGAGAGAGGCAGCAGGCAAGAGAGAGGCAGCAGGCAAGAGAGAGGCAGCAGACAAGAGAGAGGCAGCAGGCAAGAGAGAGACATAAAGGTCTCAGCAGTACACTGGAAACAAAGGAACGTCGGAACAAAGGCTTGGCGGACTGAATTAAATAACCAAAGGTTTTGGTCGGAGGTACATCCTTAACAACACCATGGGAGACGTCTCCCACCATCCCACTACGAGACATCACAGCGGGAGACCTCTCCCACCATATCACAAGAGGACCCCACAAATTATAATATAAACAATAATTAAATTATAACAGTTATCAGTTATAAGTATAACAAAATCAAGAATTATTACATATATGAATTATGATTCAGCTGGCGGTGATAATAATGTTTGCAAAAGTTGCAAAATATAAAAGTATGGCGATAAATGTTATTTACAAATTAACAATAAAAATAAAAGCAATAATAACATTAACACAATAACATTAACACAATAACATTAACACAATAATATTAACACAATAATAACATTAACATTGATAAAGTAATGAAATTTCCGTAATAAACAGAATAATTTCATTTTGTATTTTCGTATTTCATGTTTATCTTTTTAACATATCAATTAAAGTCTACGGGATCATCAACTCGCATTTCACTTACTCAACTCATTGGTCTTTTCTGACGAGTTAACAAGCGTCAATTTTGGTATGGGTTTGTGTAATTACAAACTTACGAATATAGGGAAAGGTAAGGGAACTATCTGGGGGAAAGCGCCAAGCCATTACGACTATATAGCACTGGGAAGGGGTCAGGATAAGGATTTGGGATGGGACGGAGAGAGGGGAAGGAATGGTGCCCAATCTCATGGACGGTCGTGGGGATTGAACGTCGACCTGCATGAACCATTTAGACATATAGTGAACATAGAACATGAACACAGGGGAACCTGTGTAATTTATCGAGACTATAGTTCTTCGTCCGACGGATGTTAATATTTCAATGCGTTAAATTTCACTAAACCATTGACGTTTAGAAGACAAACACGCAATTTATAATGTTTGGAATGCAAACACACTCGCGTCTACGGTAGTGAGAAGGATAACACTTGTCGTGCTCATGTGTAGTAGAGCCTGTGGTCTGATAGTCATCTACTTTTTTATAGTTTCTTGCCTGTGTGGAAGGGCTTTTATGCTCGCGGAAAGTTATGATGAGTCCAGAAAGTTTAATTGCAAAACTGAAGCCCTTGAAGCATTTTATTATATTTGTGGAGATATTGGTAAGTCTCTGAGGGTCCTGCGGGTATTCTTTTATTAATATTTATTTATTTATTTTAACTCTTCAATACTTTTCATGATTTAAAAAGTCTATATAAAGAGTCTGTGTTTAAAAAAACATGTATTAACTAGGAACCTTTTTTATGTTAAATCCTTTTATGTATCATTCCATTTATACTGTGTTGTTTACGAATACACATAATACATATAAATACAAATTCCCAGCGGGGCGGACAGCACTCTGGAGTCACAGTCCTACGGACCCGGGTTCGATTCCTGGTCGATACAGAAACAAAAGGGCAGAGTTAAATTCTCCTGATACATCAGTTCACTTTGCAGTAAATAGGTACCTGGGAGTTAGAGAGTTGCTACGGGCTGCATCCTGGGGGTATGTGTGTGTCAAAGAGAAATATGTAGTAGAAGAAATAGGTAGGGGGTCAGTACATCAGACAACCGACGGTTAGAAAGGCGGGGTCCAGGAGCTAACAGCTCGATCCTATAGGCAAAAATAGTAAATACAAAGAAACACACACACACACACGCACAGTTAGAGAACAGTTAGGATGAATATGACTCATCTAGAAAATAGATGAACTATGACTCATCTAGAGAACTTTAGAACTTGTTAGATGAACTGACTCATCTAGAGAACTTTAGAACTTGTTAGATGAACTGACTCATCTAGAGAACTTTAGAACTTGTTAGATTAACTGACTCATCTAGAGAACTTTAGAATTTGTTAGATGAACTGACTCATCTAGAGAACAGTTAGAGAAACTATGACTCATTTGAAATAGAGCTCATCCACTTGAACTGGAGGATAAAGAAACAGCCTCGTTTCTTTATGGGATTGACGTCTGATCTCTAATGGTCCAATTGGATGGTTACCGTTCCCTAACTCCTCATTCATACCCCCTAAGCCCCTTTGTCCTCATACACCTCACAATTACTCCAGTGTCAGATTGGCTTAGCATTCTCTCTTCCTAATTACCTTCGAGTTGCAAACGTGTTTGCAATGAATCTTCATATAATGTGAAGTACTTGTTCTCACATGTTGTGCGTCAAACAAAGAAATTGAACAAGAACATGCACTGTGTCAAACAAAAACATTTTAATACGGCTTTGTCTATACGGCGTGTTTTTGTTAAACATATTACTGCTTTTGTTTGGCGATGGTGTTTGCCCTCGTGTATCCAGCCTTGTTTGGAAAGCTTGTTTGTCTTGTCATTGGCGGGCTGGTTTGCGCCTGAGTGCCTCGTCTTGTTTGCACCTGAGTGCCTTGTCCTGTTTGCCTCCCTCCTCGACTTGAATTCCTTACCATAGTGCGGAGGACAATACAGTATTGGGGTCAACAAAATTTGAATTCCCTGTGGTCGCAGTGGTTCCCGGTGAATGTGGATTCCTGATGTGTTTTAGCGAGGGTGTTGTAGTGGAGTTGCGTGCGTTGTAGTGGAGTTGCGTGCGTTGTAGTGGAGTTGCGTGCGTTGTAGTGGTCTTCCATGCGTTTTAGTAGTGTTGCGTGTGCTGCAAAACTGTAGCTTGTATTTCACTAGTATTGCTTGTAGGTTTCAGGGGAGTGTTTATTTTGTTAGTATTACTTGTATTGTAGAGATATGGATTGAGTCTCAACAGTGATGCTTGTGTTCCAGATGTGTTGTTTTATTAAAGAAGTGTTTCCTGTTAACTCCATAAAGTGGTTATATTTCGTTAGTGTTGTTCGTTGCCTCCATGTGGGGGGTATATTTCGTTAGTGTTGTTCGTTGCCTCCATGTGGGGGTATATTTCGTTAGTGTTGTTCGTTGCCTCCATGTGGGGGGTATATTTCGTTAATGTTCTTCGTTGCCTCCATGTTGGGCTATATTCCGTTAGTAGTCTCTATGAACTCTTTAAACTACACTTACTGAACCTTCTATGAGCCAGATTATTCATATTCAAGCATGAAATTAGTTCTAATTTGCAACGTATAACTTGATGAGTATCGAAAAATGGATCGAAAAGTGGCCCCGTTTTCAGTCGCTTCGTTTGATCAATCAGCTTTTTACAGTTGGGACTACTTTGTAATTTAGTGTTGGTATGCAAAGAAAATCGTTAATATTTATATTGGCAGTATTGTGTTCAATTCTGTGTTACCTTACTTTGAGGTTTGTTAGCAAACAAAGCCCACAAACAATAACCAGCAAACAAAGCCCAACAGACAAAGGTCTAACCACAAAAAGCTACAAAAGTCAAAGCAGTAACTAAGGGACCATCGCGTACTGACGTACTAAAGAAAGTCTTTTTTTATTAAAGTTCGATAATTTTAAGATCAAACAAAACTTTGCACTGTGTTCTTAATTCTACTTTTAAGCGCTGAGGCAGTGTGTTTCTTGGTGTTCCGGTGTATAGAGGAGGCGCTGCTGCTGAGCTGGTCCTTGTTTGTGGTGCAGGGAAGATGTGCTCTCAGACATCACCAGTTGGAGGCTGCCATCACAAACTAGAGGTTGCCATCACAAACTAGAGGTTGCCATCACAAACTAGAGGGTTGCCATCACAAACTAGAGGGTTGCCATCACAAACTAGAGGTTGTCATCACAAACTAGAGGGTTGCCATCACAAACTAGAGGGTTGCCATCACAAACTAGAGGGTTGCCATCACAAACTAGAGGTTGTCATCACAAACTAGAGGGTTGTCATCACAAACTAGAGGGTTGCCATCACAAACTAGAGGGTTGCCATCACAAACTAGAGGTTGTTATCACAAACTAGAGGGTGCCATCACAAACTAGAGGGTGCCATCACAAACTAGACGGTGCCATCACAAACTAGACGGTGCCATCACAAACTAGAGGGTGCCACTCTTCCAGGATTGGCAGATCTGACAAAGTCTTATCATCCCTCAGCCCTATACACTTCCTCCGTTCCTGAAGACGTCTGAAATACTTAGTCTGTCTCTCCCTGATTGTACAATATCTTTTCCAGATTCTGTTCTGTCTCTTTCTGATTGTAGGTTTTCGCTTCCTCATTTTTAGCTTAGTCTACTTGATTGTAGAATGCGCTCCTCCCTCCCCTACTTCTTCTTATTGGCCCTTGTTAACAACCCAACTAGCAGTCATCTAGTACTAGTGATTTAATCTTGTTTGTGTTTACAATTGCGTCATTCTTGCGACTGATCCGCTTGTGTTGTACCGCAGTTCTGGTACGACTACAAGCTGAAGTGGGACCCGGAGGAGTACGGGGGCGTGCTGATGTTACACGTGCCCTCTGACCACATCTGGAGACCTGACATTGTTCTCTATAACAAGTGAGTGAACACAGGTTTGTTAATGTGTCGTGTGTGGGGGGTGGGCGTGGGGGGGAGGTAGGTGTGTGTGTGTGTGTTGTGTAAGGTAGGTATGACATGTGTATTATTTAATAGGTGTGGAATATGTATGATGTGACAAGTGTGGAATGTGTATTGTGTGTCAGGTATGGAATGTGTATTGTATAGCAGGTGTATAGCAGGAGTACCACATAAATGTGATGTTTAGGGAGCAAAGTTGTGGTTCATGCAGCGAACCAAGTGAAAGAAAGAGAGAGAGAGAGAGAGAGAGAGAGAGAGAGAGAGAGAGAGAGAGAGAGAGAGAGAGAGAGAGAGAGAGAGAGAGAGAGAGAGAGAGAGAGAGAAAGAGAGAGAGAGATCTGAGTTGCCCAAGTCGACCAAACCCGCCGGCGTTAGACAAAAAGGTTTGAGTACCCCCCCCCCCCCCTGGAAGGATACACAACCTTTACACCTCAAAGCTGTGTGGTCGAGGTAGCTCTCGATTCTATTAAGCTTTCCTCTCGAGTGGATTGAAAACTTGTAGTAAAGACACCATCTTCTGGAGTTAACCTTTCAGAGAGACCACGAGTGCCTTCTCCTCCTCCTCCGAGTTGAATAGAGTCATACTGGAGTGGTGTGTGTTAGTTTTTGCTTCAGGTCTTTTTTCTATCCTTTATCCTGTTCTCTCTCTATCCTTTTCTCTCTCTCCTCGGTACTTTGTTATCCTTTCTCCTCTGGCCTCTTCTTTCAAATGTTTGTTTTCCTTTCCTATTCCTGTATTCAATTAATGTTTATCACTTACTTTTCTTCCCCCTCATCCCTTTTTCTCTGTTCTCCTCTCATCTCTCCCTCTTCTTCCCTTTCTCTCTCCTCTTTGCTCTTTTCAGTTCTCGTGTTCACCATTATTTTATCCGCTTTATTCAACTTCTGTCTTGTTAACTTTGTGTGTGTGTGTGTGTGTGTGTGTGTGTGTGTGTGTGTGTGTGTGTGTGTGTGTGTGTGTGTGTGTGTGTGTGTGTGTGTGTGTGTTTAAGAACGTTCATATTTGTGCCTGTGAGCGTGGGAGGGATTTAAAATATATTTCAGCATCAGCTTCCAAGTGTGTATTTGCATTAATAATAATAATTAAACAAGTCTATAACTACCTATATCATCCTCATCTTCAATTTCCAACAGTTTCCAACCATGTAGGTATTCTCAGGATTACAGTCTTACCGTAAAGTTCTCACCAATCTCTCTAACAACCTCGTAACCCCCTGAATTTGCATTTAATTTATCATGCATTTTATTTTGGGTTGGGTAGGAACCCCATGACATTAGTTTCGTGCCTCAGAGGAAGCACGAAATTCTGTTCGGATTACCGAACAGCAAAACGTTATTTGCCAAAGTTGTAACTATATATTATCAACTTGGGAAACATATGCAATAAGGAGAATGTTGCGAGGACGTCTGTGGATGATGATAGGAAAGATCCTATTGCCGGCAACTGAGTGATGGAGATTGGTGCATTCCGAGGGAAGTCGAAGAGCTCAGGAGTTGCAGAGGATAGAGATAGCGTCAGGCCAGGAGGCTCGGTCCTATGTTTTGGTAATGTCTGCGCTGATGGAGGAGCGAGAGAGGCAGTGGGGCGCGGGAACGGGTTGTAGGTTAGGAGATGGGCAAGCAACCGGGCGAAGAGCCGGCTAGGTCCGTATTGTGTGTTCTTGAGTGCGTTTAGCGAGTCTTAAGGGAGGGTGGGACTATGTTGTGGGATGTTGAGTGCGTTTAGCGAGTCTTAAGGGAGGGTGGGACTATGTTGCGTGTTGTTGAGTGCGTTCAGCGAGTCTTAAAGGAGTCTGGGACTATGTTGTGTGTTGTTGAGTGTGTTCAGCGAGTCTTAAAGGAGTCTGGGACTATGTTGTGTGTTGTTGAGTGCGTTCAGCGAGTCTTAAGGGAGGCTGGGGCTATGTTGTGTGTTGTTGAGTGCGTTCAGCGAGTCTTAAGGGAGGCTGGGGCTATGTTGTGTGTTGTTGAGTGCGTTCAGCGAGTCTTTAAGGAGTCTGGGACTATGTTGTGTGTTGTTGAGTGCGTTCAGCGAGTCTTAAGGGAGGCTGGGGCTATGTTGTGTTTTGTTGAGTGCGTTCAGCGAGTCTTAAGGGAGGCTGGGGCTATGTTGTGTTTTGTTGAGTGCGTTCAGCGAGTCTTAAGGGAGGGTGGGACTATGTTGTGTGTTGTTGAGTGCGTTCAGCGAGTCTTAAGGGAGGCTGGGACTATGTTGTGTGTTGTTGAGTGCGTTCAGCGAGTCTTTAAGGGGTCTGGGACTATGTTGTGTGTTGCTGAGTGCGTTCAGCGAGTCTTAAGGGAGGGTGGGACTATGTTGTGTTTTGTTGAGTGCGTTCAGCGAGTCTTGGCAGTAACAACAGTCAATAACAACAGACAGTGACAACAATAACGCTGGGAATAACACCATACGGCCATTACAGAGCCAGTGACAACTTGGGGCCAGATTCACGAAGCACTTACGCAAGCACTTACGAACGTGTACATCTTTCCTCAATCTTTGACGGCTTTGTTTACATTTATTAAACAGTTTACAAGCATGAAAACTTGCCAATCAACTGTTGTTATTGTTATAAACAGCCTCCTGGTGCTTCGGAGCTCATTAACTGTTTAATAATTGTAAACAAAGCCGCCAAAGAGTGAGAAAAGATGGAAAGGTTCGTAAGTTCTTGTGTAACTGCTTCGTGAATCTGGTCCCAGGGTATTGCTGGGGGCGTCAGTAGGGAGAATTTAACCAGATGTTAGAAATTAATGGAGATATCATATTGCATCCGACACGCCCCCCCCCTCCCCTCTCACCCCCTCCGCCCCCTTCCTACCCCCCTCTTCTCCTCCCCCCCCCCTTCTTCTTGCCTCTACTCCCTCCCCCTTTCTCCCTTCAATCCTTTCACCTCTCTTCCCTCCTACTCCCCTACCCTCCTATCTATCTTCCCATCATCATTACCTTCTTCCCTACACTCCCCCCCCCCTCTACACCCCCCCCACACCGACTCTCCCCCCCCTCTATACCCCCCACACCGACTCCCTCCCCACCTCCTCCACACCCCCACACCGACTCCCTCCCCTCTACACCCCCACACCGACTCCCTCCCCCCTCCTCCACACCCCCACACCGACTCAGTCCCCCCCTCTACACCCCCACACCGACTCAGTCCCCCCCTCTACACCCCCCACACCGACTCCCCACCTCCTCCACACCCCCACACCGACTCCCCCTCCCCCTCTCTACACCCCCACACCGACTCCCTCCCCCCTCCTCCACACCCCCACACCGACTCAGTCACCCCCCCTCTACACCCCCACACCGACTCAGTCCCCCCCCCTCTACACCCCCACACCGACTCCCTCCCTCCTCCACACCCCCACACCGACTCCCCCCCCCCTCTCTACACCCCCACACCGACTCCCCCCCCCCCCTCTACACCCCCACACCGACTCCCTCCCCCCCTCCTCCACACCCCCACACCGACTCAGTCCCCCCTCTACACCCCCACACCGACTCAGTCCCCCCCTCTACACCCCCACCCCCCCCCCCAACCACCCCCCACACTACAAAGCGTCCTCACTACAAAGAGAAAAACAATAACATGTGTCAGCCTGTATTGTCACTCACTCACGACAGTGATACATATCAAAGTGTTGTATTTGTGTTGTATTTGTGTTGTATTTGTGTTGTATTGGTGTTGTATTGGTGTTGTATTTCTGTTGTATTTCTGTTGTATTTGTGTTGTATTTGTGAGGCGGCCGGGAGGAGGAGGAGGGGAAATGTATACTAAAATACACAAAAAAAGAATTGCGTATTATCCCGGGTTTGTATTGAGGTTACAGTGCCTGGGATCACGCTGGACACGTGATCCTGTGGTCCTGGGTTCGATCCCGGGCGCCGGCAAGAAATGATGGGCAGAGTTTTTTTTCACTCTTTGCCCCTGTTACCTAGCAGTTAATAGGTACCTGGGTGTTAGTCAGCTGTCACGGGCTGCTTCCTGGGGGTGGAGGCCTGGTCGAGAACCGGGCCGCGGGGACACTAAAAGCCCCGAAATCAACTCAAGATAACCTCAAGATAACCTCCCTACCTGGTCTGTTGTATGTGGACTTTATACCTATAGTTGGCCCTCTGGTGGTGAAATTGACACCAATTTTGTGTGTGTGTGTGTGTGTGTGTGTGTGTGTGTGTGTGTGTGTGTGTGTGTGTGTGTGTGTGTGTGTGTGTGTGTGTGTGTGTGTGTGTGTGTGTGTACTCACCTAGTTGTACTCACCTAGTTGTGTTTGCGGGGGTTGAGCTCTGGCTCTTTGGTCCCGCCTCTCAACCGTCAATCAACAGGTGTACAGATTCCTGAGCCTATCGGGCTCTGTCATATCTACACTTGAAACTGTGTATGGAGTCAGCCTCCACCACATCACTTCCTAATGCATTCCATTTGTCAACCACTCTGACACTAAAAAAGTTCTTTCTAATATCTCTGTGGCTCATTTGGGCACTCAGTTTCCACCTGTGTCCCCTAGTACGTGTGCCCCTTGTGTTAAATAGACTGTCTTTATCTACCCTATCAATCCCCTTCAGAATCTTGAATGTGGTGATCATGTCCCCCCTAACTCTTCTGTCTTCCAGCGAAGAAGTGTGTGTGTGTGTGTGTGTGTGTGTGTGTGTGTGTGTGTGTGTGTGTGTGTGTGTGTGTGTGTGTGTTTCTCTGATCAACTGGATCAGAGAAATGAATTTTTCATTTAAAATAAATATTTTGAATTCATGTCTACAAAATAAAAAAAAAATCTAGGCATCATACTTTGCCCATTAATTAGCTAAAATACAAATTCTGAGAAGGGGGTCATTCGGCTGTTCTGTCTGGGTGTCTGGGTGTTTCTGGGCGTGAGAACCTCTCATTGTGGGCCTCTGACCTGGTGAAACCTGTCCCCCATGAAGATGATGGTTAATGGTGATCCCATTCACCTACATGTTAATGTTCAGCTTCTGGCAGGGCCTCATTCATGTCTCTCTGGTCTATTGTGACTCTTCCGGCACACTTTTATATTCCTGTCATCCTGTCAACACCCTTGTCATTCCACTATCACTGTCCTGTCACCTCTGTGTCATCGGCTTGTCAATACCCTGCCCAGGCAGTGTCACAATCTTGACACCACTGTCGTTACAGCTCTGATGAGATCCTTTTTCCAGCTTGTTTAACTTAGCTCACTTTAATGGCAACCTCTTCCTCGTCTTTACGAGGAAGAGGTGGCCATTCAACCCTCAAACCATTCAATCTAGAGCTGCTCCACTCAACCCTCTCAACGCTACTCTTTAATACTCACTTTCCTCTGATTACTCTCTTGTCCTCTCATCTTTTATTCAGGCGGCTTCCTTTACAGTGCCGATGGGAACTTCGAAGTGACTCTCTCGACCAAGGCCACGCTTCACTTCGACGGGCTGGTTGAGTGGAAGCCTCCGGCCATCTACAAGTCTTCTTGCGAAATAGATGTCGAGTTTTTCCCTTTTGACGAGCAGACCTGCGTCATGAAGTTCGGTTCTTGGACCTACGACGGATTCCAGGTAGGTATTTTAGGCATTGGAAAAATACATGCTGTAATTTGCAATGTATTCCAGTATGTATTGTGTGTCATTATTCATTTATTTGAACGTGCTGTAGATACTGACATGGTCCTGTTTAAGTCTGTGTGTGTGCCCAACCACTTGGGGTGGACGGTAGAGCGACGGTCTCGCTTCATGCAGGTCGGCGTTCAATCCCCGACCGTCCAAGTGGTTGGGCCTACCATTCCTTCCCCCCGTCCTCTCCCAAGTCCTTATCCTGACCCCTTTCAAGTGCTATATAGTCGTAATGGCTTGGTGCTTTCCCCAGAGAGTTCCCTTCCCTTCTGTATGTGTGTGTGGGAGGGGGGGGATTTGTTGATCTACATATAATTTTGTCTTCCTCAGGCAGACTTCAGACAATCTACATATAATTTTGTATTCATCAGGTAGACTTCAGACAATCTACATATAATTTTGTCTTTCTCAGGCAGACCTCAGACAATCTACATATAATTTTGTCTTCCTCAGGCAGACCTCAGACAATCTACATATAATTTTGTCTTCCTCAGGCAGACCTCAGACAATCTACATATAATTTTGTCTTCCTCAGGCAGACCTCAGACAATCTACATATAATTTTGTCTTCCTCAGGCAGACCTCAGACAATCTACATATAATTTTGTCTTCCTCAGGCAGACCTCAGACAATCTACATATAATTTTGTCTTCCTCAGGTAGACCTCAGACAATCTACATATAATTTTGTAGATTGTCTGAAGTCTACAAGATTGGACTTCATTGTCCAATTTTGGATTCAGATTGTCATTGACAATCGGTGGGCATTCATCAGGTAGACCTCAGACAATCTACATATAATTTTGTCTTCCTCAGGTAGACCTCAGACACATCGACGAGGTCACTAACAACCCCATTGTGGAGATCGGCGTCGACCTCACAGAGTTCTACATGTCGGTCGAGTGGGACATCTTGGCAGTACCGGCAATCAGGTACTCTTGTTAAGTCTCTCACTTTAGTACTCGATCCACTCTCCCTCTCTCCGGGAGCCTAATATATGTTTGCGTCTTATTCTACTCACCTGTTGCCTCATACTTTTTTACCTGTTCTTATATGATAAGTGAAGTATTTATACATTTGTTTCAGTGATTCTTGGGGGGGAATACGAGGGAAGATGGACGAATGGAGGAGATAGAAATAGTTAGATTGAGAGATAGATAGATAGAGAGAGAGAGAGAGAGAGAGAGAGAGAGAGAGAGAGAGAGAGAGAGAGAGAGAGATAGGGAGACATACAGACCCAGGCAACGCCGGGTACCGCCAACTACCATATTTATATATAATTGAAGACAAGCCTGGCGAAACTTTGCTGGGTGATGTGTAGGTTGTACGGTCAGTGTCATAGGAGAATTTGGGTCGACTTCCATGCTTATTTTAAAGAAGACTCGACTCTTATTCCGAATCCCATCGAATGCTATGAAATGTGGGTTTGATTGTTCATATTGTTAAAACAGATTTTGTGACTGTCAAACGACGTTGATTCGACGTGGATTACGTTGTTTCATTGTCAGTAACGTTGATGGAGTGTAACGTAGAGGGCAAGAGAGAGAGAGAGAGAGAGAGAGAGAGAGAGAGAGAGAGAGAGAGAGAGAGAGAGAGAGAGAGAGAGAGAGAGAGAGAGAGAGAGAGAGAGAGAGAGAGAGAGAGAGAGAGAGAGAGAGAGAGAGAGAGAGAGAGAGAGAGAGAGAGAGAGAGAGAGAGAGAGAGAGAGAAGAGAGGAGAGAGAGAGAGAGAGAGAGAGAGAGAGAGAGAGAGAGAGAGAGAGAGAGAGAGAGAGAGAGAGAGAGAGAGAGAGAGAGGAGAGAGAGAGAGAGAGAGAGAGAGAGAGAGAGAGAGAGAGAGAGAGAGAGAGAGGGGGGGGAGAGAGAGGGAGAGAGAGAGAGAGAGAGAGAGAGAGAGAGGAGAGAGAGAGAGAGAGAGAGAGAGAGAGAGAAGAGAGAGAGAGAGAGAGAGAGAGAGAGAGAGAGAGAGAGAGAGAGAGAGAGAGAGAGAGAGAGAGAGAGAGAGAGAGAGAGAGAGAGAGAGACCCATTGCCACCCCCCATCAAAGCACAAATCTCTACACCCCCCCAAGTAACCAGGGACTTTTTTCTATTCTTGCAGGAACGAGAAATATTACACGTGTTGCAACGAGCCGTACCTGGACATTACCTTCAACATCACGATGAGGAGAAAGACGCTCTTCTACACCGTTAACCTCATCATCCCCTGCATGGGTATCTCCTTCCTCACCGTGCTGGTCTTCTACCTTCCCTCAGACTCCGGCGAGAAGGTAAACTAAGACATATTACGAGTTGGTTTACTTCTTCACACCTGTTTCTTGTTGGTATACCTCCACCTTGTCCTCTTTCCTCCCCTATTCGTGACACATGACCGCGCTCCGTGATACTGCTTCCCGCCAAACACACACCGAAACTTCGACGTTGGTACAACGTTCGAACAAGTGTTAACGCCTCTTAACCAGTTATAACAACCCATATAGGAAGTTGTAACAATGTTTTAATACGTCATAAACACGTTAAGCCAAGATGTAACAACTTTATTACAAGTTGTAACAAGCGGAAAATAGAGACAGTTTCGGTTTGTGTTTCCATGGTTGTACTCACACACACACACACACACACACACACACACACACACACACACACACACACACACACACACACACACACACACACACACACACACACACACACACACACACACACACACACACACACACACACACACACACACACACACACACACACACACACACACACACACACACACACACACATACACACACACATGCATACCCAGCATGGAACCCCTGCCTTTAAAAAGACAAAAAGACACTAGAAAAAGACCAAATCTAAGCAACGAGACTAGTTCCGTTGCTGAGGGGATTGAGTAATGAGGAAAAGCTGAGAGCACTGTACCTTACCACGCTGGAAGAAATGAGAAATAGTGGGGGACATGATAACGACATATAAGATTCTAATTGAAATTGACGAAGTAGACAGAGCAGCGTTCTTCAAAGCAAGGAACAGCAGAACAAGGTCATAAATGGTAACTGGATATATTATTGAGTTATAGAGAACATCAGGAAGAACGTTTTCAGTGTTATTGTTGTTAGTAAATGTAACAAGTTAGACGGTTATCTTGTTATCAAGGGTTATCTTGTTATCAAGGGTTATCTTGTTATCAAGGGTTATCTTGTTATCAAGGGTTATCTTGTTATCAAGGGTTATCTTGTTATCAAGGGTTATCTTGATATCAAGGGTTATCTTGAGATCTTGAGATGATTTCGGGGCTTTTTAGTGTCCCCGCGGCCCGGTCCTCGACCAGGCCTCCACCCCCAGCAAGCAGCCCGTGACAGCTGACTAACCCCCAGATACCTATTTTACTGCTAGGTAACAGGGGCATAGGGTGAAAGAAACTCTGCCCATTGTTTCTCGCCGGCGCCTGGGATCGAACCCAGGACCACAGGATCACAAGTCCAGCGTGCTGTCCGCTCGGCCGACCGGCTCCTTAATCATTAATCTAAGAACGTTCGAAAGGCGGGGTCAGGAGCCTAGCTCGACCCTGCAAGCACATCTAGGTTATCTTGAGATGATCTCGGGGCTTTAGTGTCCCCGCGGCCCGGTCCTCGACCAGGCCTCCACCCTCAGCAAGCAGCCCGTGACAGCTGACTAACCCCCAGGTACCTATTTACTGCTAGGTCACAGGGGCATCATACGTGAGTACACACAGTAAATACAGACGGAGAGTGGACACCAAACCTATCACCTGAGCCTCATGTAAACAGGGTACCATCAACAGCATACTCTACACTAGCAAAAGTCACAACATCTTTCAGGAACCTAAATAATGAGTTATTTAAATCACTTTGAACTGTGAGGCCCGTTTTAGAGTATGTCGCCCCAGCGTGGAACCCAATTAAAAAAAAACTCTTAATAAAACTCGGAAAGGCTCAGAAGTTTGCAACGAGGCTCGTCCCAAAATTGCAAGGTTTGTATGAAGAGAGACTGAAGGATCTAAACCTGACGACGCTAGAGAAGAGAAGAGAGAGGGAAGACATGAAAGAGATGTATAAAATACTTAGAGGGATTGACAGTAGAAAAAGTGTAAATGTTCAAAAGGAATTCCAATAGAACAAGACGGTATAGCTTGAAATGAGTCATAGAGATGTTAGAAAGCTTTCTTTCATTGTAAGAAAAGTGGGAAAATGGAATGAAATAAAGAAGCAGGTTGTGGAAGCAAACTTTATTCACAATTTTAAAAGTAGATGAGAAAGCAGCCCAGGAATCTGGGCTGCTTTAGAAAATTCAGCTGAATTTTTAAATTCTTTTAAAAATTCAGCTTTTTCATTTTTAAATAAAAAAAATCATTTTTAAATTTAAAAAAATCAGCTGAATTTTTAGCTGCTTTAGACAACCGGCAGCTAAAAACACGGGGGTCCAAGAGCTAATACACAACCCGGCATGCATCAATAGGTGAGTACTCACAGACTAGTGTGGAAAGGTAATAAACAGATAGGAATGATAAGGCAGGTGATTCAGTGTGTAACTGAGTACCTGTGGGACGGAAAACAGAGAGTCACAGTGCGAGGAGAGAAGAGGAGCTTAGAGTGGCGGGATGCTGCTAGGGGGTCATGATGCTCTGAGGGAGATGAGGTCATCCCCCGCTGGCTGGGTCACGATGCTTTCAAAGGCTTAAATCGAATTCCGACTTTCTGTCGCCACCTGTGTGGTTTCAGACTTGAAGCATCTCTGTTCTCCTCAAGCCTATGCCAGCACTTATCTCCTAACCCCCTCCCCCTCTCTCCCTTCCCCTTCCACAATCCCTTCTCCACACCTCACTTCCCCCTTCCCACAATGTTTAAGTCCCCTTCCCCCGCCCTCTCAGTTTTTGGACACGTTTTCACTCATTCTAGTTCGTGCACTCTTTGTCGCACTCTCGTCCTAAAGTCTACCTACACACTTGTATTCATACACTTACACTCGCACTTGACCACACACTCATCTTCTCAACGTTTTCTCAACGTCTCGCGTCTCTTTACGAGGGCCTAACTATTATGTGATAAGGGTTAACGAGACCATTCCTGGCGTAACGAGTAAATATTATACGCCGTTCTTGAACGATACGAACGTCTGCTCACGTTAAGTAATATTTAAAAAAAAAAAAAGTTAAAAATAATTTGAACGTTATGTAATTGAAATGCATTACGCTAGGCACATAATTAATTAACCCAAATTATATAATTGGATTAGCTTGCAAAGTGTAGTGAATAATTGGTGACTTGTGACGTGGGAAAATTAAAGCAGTTAAATTGTCATATTTCGACTGTATTAATTGTTTGTCAATTCTAACCATTTGTTAACAGGTAAGTGAAGAGTTCTGAATATTTAACCAATGTAATTATGCAAAAAAATCAACAATGGCAATAAATACAATGACATAATACAATGATATTGAGGTACAGGAGAAGCGTTGCCAGAAATGTGGTTTTATTGATCAAATAATTACAGTACATTTACTGTAATAACACAAGCTATATAATATACCATACTTATATATAGTTTAAGCACTGTCTATTCATTATAACAACAAGCAAACTGCACATGACTAAAGCTAGAATATATAGAAATTAAATTAGAAGTCAACATTCCAGCAACCTGTCCACAGGCACGAGACAGCTGATCTGACGACAACAAAACAGTCAAGCGAGCATCCAAACAAAACAGTCAAGCGAGCATCCATCATGTACAGTAATATAATAACACTTTTACTACAGATATATATATGACAAACAATGATACACGATAACAGTGATGCAAGATAACACGATCGAAGCCTAACAACAGAGGGTAATTGTTGATAACGAGGATTTAAAAAGTAGTGGAGCCGCTGAGAAGATAAGAGATAATGCTTTAGTGTGTCAGACAGGAGACCGTGTGGTTGGCGGACCCATAAAAGCTGAGCTGATGTACGATACGACTTTCTGAAGCCCTGAGGCGCCATTGGAGTGAGTCTACACCCTGTTGACGATCTCGTGAAGGAGTCACCCTTGGAGTGAGGCTACAGGAGTCACCCTTGGCGTGAGACTACAGGAGTCACCCTTGGAGCAAGGCTACAGGAGTCACCCTTGGCGTGAGGCTACAGGAGTCACCCTTGGCGTGAGACTACAGGAGTCACCCTTGGCGTGAGGCTACAGGAGTCACCCTTGGCGTGAGGCTACAGGAGTCACCCTTGGCGTGAGACTACAGGAGTCACCCTTGGCGCGAGGCTACAGGAGTCACCCTTGGCGTGAGGCTACAGGAGTCACCCTTGGCGTGAGGCTACAGGAGTCACCCTTGGCGTGAGGCTACAGGAGTCACCCTTGGCGTGAGGCTACAGGAGTCACCCTTGGCGTGAGGCTACAGGAGTCACCCTTGGCGTGAGGCTACAGGAGTCACCCTTGGAGCAAGGCTACAGGAGTCACCCTTGGAGCAAGGCTACAGGAGTTACCCTTGGAGCAAGGCTACAGGAGTCACCCTTGGAGCAAGGCTACAGGAGTCACCCTTGGCGTGAGGCTACAGGAGTCACCCTTGGCGTGAGACTACAGGAGTCACCCTTGGCGTGAGGCTACAGGAGTCACCCTTGGCGTGAGGCTACAGGAGTCACCCTTGGCGTGAGGCTACAGGAGTCACCCTTGGCGTGAGACTACAGGAGTCACCCTTGGCGTGAGACTACAGGAGTCACCCTTGGCGTGAGGCTACAGGAGTCACCCTTGGCGTGAGGCTACAGGAGTCACCCTTGGCGTGAGACTACAGGAGTCACCCTTGGAGCAAGGCTACAGGAGTCACCCTTGGAGCAAGGCTACAGGAGTTACCCTTGGAGCAAGGCTACAGGAGTCACCCTTGGAGCAAGGCTACAGGAGTCACCCTTGGCGTGAGACTACAGACTAATCGTCTGTTTTATGCGAGTATGGGCAAAAATATCAGTAAATTTTCCCGAGATCAGTGAATAATAGTACATATTACTATAAGAAAAAAAATAGTTTCAAAAGTTTCTATTGAAAATATTTAGCTGTGTAGCCGGCGGACAGTGCAAATAATGGTCGTGAGGGTCTGACTGTGGCCCCTGGCACGCTGCTCCCTTTTGAATTCTGTGCACCCCGACCATCCTATGTTCATCCCATACCCCACACCATTCCCTCTGCCAATTTTGGTGAGCCTAGCCCCAAGCGCATGACCTCTAGCTTTGAACAAACAGACATTCTCTCTTATAGTATAAATAAATTTTCTCATGGATATATTTCAATGGAAAATATATGTGCAGAATACATATGTTTGTACTGCTGAGAATTCTATAAGGAGGGAGTGTATGTTTAGTCTGTTGAGGAATTCAAGATTGGATTCGGCTCTATCACAGACGAGTAACACACACACACACACACACACACACACACACACACACACACACACACACACACACACACACACACACACACACACACAGGTGAGGCAGTCACACACACACACACACACACACACACACACTGCCTCCCTACAGGTGAGGCAGTCCCTAAGCATCCCTACAGGTGAGGGGGCCTCGTAGCCTGGTGGATAGCGCGCAGGACTCGTAATTCTGTGGCGCGGGTTCGATTCCCGCACGAGGCAGAAACAAATGGGCAAAGTTTCTTTCACCCTAAGTGCCCCTGTTACCTAGCAGTAAATAGGTACCTGGGAGTTAGTCAGCTGTCACGGGCTGCTTCCTGGGGTGTGTGTGTGGTGTGGGGAAAAAAAAAAAAAAAAAAAAAAAAAAAAGTAGTTAGTAAGTTAGTAGTTAGTAAACAGTTGATTGACAGTTGAGAGGCGGGCCGAAAGAGCAAAGCTCAACCCCCGCAAAAACACAACTAGTAAACACACACACACACACACACACACACACAGTGATGTGGAAGGAGGCTGACTCCATCCACAGTTTCAAGTGTAGATATGATAGAGCCCAATAGGCTCAGGAATCTGTACACCTGCTGATTGACGGTTGAGAGGCGGGACCAAAGAGCCAAAGCTCAACCCCCGCAAACACAACTAGGTGAGTACAACTAGGTGAGTACACACACACACACACACACACACACACACACACACACACACACACACACACACACACACACACACACACACACACACACACAAGGAAAGTAAGGAGCATCTGTGAGTCATACCCTAATATTTATAATAATAATAATAATAATAATAATAATTTACTCACAAAACGGTACAATAAGTTGGTAAAATTTCATAAGATTAGCATTTGTTTACATTCATGCAAAGCAACTAGCGTGACGGGCAGAGACCTACCAGTAATGATCTTGTGGACACTATCCCTGCCCCTCCTTACTATCCCCTTGACCACACACACACACACGTCCCTGTGGCTCCTTCACTAACCTAACCTCCCTCTGTCCTCCCCACAGGTGAGCCTCTTCATTAGAATCCTGCTCTCATTAACCCATTCGTCAGTCCTTCCAAAGGTGAGCGTGACCTTAAACAGCCTGTCTTACTACCCCAACAGATGACCTTAGCCATCCTCGTCCCGTTATCCCATCCCGTCATAACCCGTAACTATCCTAATTTCATTAACCTGTACATCTGTATTATCCTACAGATAAATGTCCCAGACTATCCAGCTCACTATCACCATATTAATCCACAACAGTTGAATTGTCGACCAGCATCCTTCTTGTACTAATCCCTACGTCCGTCCTCCCTACAGGTGAGGCAGTCCCTAAGCATCCCTACAGGTGAGGGAGTCCCTAAGTATCCCTACATCTGTCTATCCCACAGATCAATTTCTCCAACAGCATCCAGCTTTCACTAAACTCTTCGAGCGTCATCCCAACGGATGAATTGTCTTTCAGCATCCTTCTCCACCAATCCCTCCTACACCCACATCACAGATTGATGCTAAGTCGTCAGCATGTTGCTCTCACTAATCCGGCCGTCTCTCGTGTCCACAGGTGAGCTTATCAATCAGCATCCTCCTCTCCCTTACCGTCTTCTTCCTACTGTTGGCTGAAATCATCCCGCCAACATCACTCGTGGTTCCGCTACTGGGAAAATTCGTCCTGTTTACAATGATATTAGACACGTTAAGGTGAGTGATCTTCCTTTTCTGTATTGGGATAACATGTATAGCCATTGCGTATACTAAGAGATACTTTATCCTGATAATTACTTTACCTTAGGTCTGTTCTCTGTCTCTCTCACCTCGGCAGCATCTGCGTCACGGTGGTAGTGCTCAACGTGCACTTCAGATCCCCGCAGACGCACTCCATGGCGCCCTGGGTCCGGAGGGTCTTCATTCACATCCTTCCTCGCCTCCTTGTCATGCGTCGACCCCAGTACCAGATGGACCGTCACCGGTAGGTCCCCAGGCAGGAGGTCTTGGTGACAGTGGGGTGAGGGCAGGAGGTCTTGGTGACAGTGGGTTGAGGGCAGGAGGTCTTGGTGACAGTGGGTTGAGGGCAGGAGGTCTTGGTGACAGTGGGGTGAGGGCAGGAGGTCTTGGGGACAATGGGGTGAGGGCAGGAGGTCTTGGTGACAGTGGGGTGAGGGCAGGAGGTCTTGGTGACAGTGGGGTGAGGGCAGGAGGTCTTGGTGACAGTGGGTTGAGGGCAGGAGGTCTTGGTGACAGTGGGTTGAGGGCAGGAGGTCTTGGTGACAGTGGGTTGAGGGCAGGAGGTCTTGGTGACAGTGGGTTGAGGGCAGGAGGTCTTGGTGACAGTGGGGTGAGGGCAGGAGGTCTTGGTGACAGTGGGTTGAGGGCAGGAGGTCTTGGTGACAGTGGGTTGAGGGCAGGAGGTCTTGGTGACAGTGGGTTGAGGGCAGGAGGTCTTGGTGACAGTGGGGTGAGGGCAGGAGGTCTTGGTGACAGTGGGTTGAGGGCAGGAGGTCTTGGTGACAGTGGGGTGAGGGCAGGAGGTCTTGGGGACAATGGGGTGAGGGCAGGAGGTCTTGGTAACAATGGGGGTGAGGGCAGGAGGTCTTGGGGACAATGGGGGTAAGGGCAGGAGGTCTTGGAGACAATGGGGTGAGGGCAGGAGGTCTTGGTGACAATGGGGGTGAGGGCAGGAGGTCTTGGGAACAATGGGGTAAGGGCAGGAGGTCTTGGGAACAATGGGGTGAGAGCAGGTGGTCTTGGGAACAATGGGGTAAGGGCAGGAGGTCTTGGGAACAATGGGGTGAGAGCAGGAGGTCTTGGGAACAATGAGGTAAGGGCAGGAGGTCTTGGGAACAATGAGGTAAGGGCAGGAGGTCTTGGGGAACATGGGAGTATCGGAGGTTTAGGAGGAACATACGAGCAGAAGTTGCTGTCTAACCAAAGAGATCTCTGATAGCCACAGCTAAGCTGGTCAGTAATGTTATATATTTCAAGGAGCTTTAATGTCCTATGCAGTGGAGAACTTTGGAATGTCTTAGGAGCTCTAATAGTGGTACCAGATCTGGAAGTGGGAGAGAAGATGATATAAAAGGGACAGAAGATGGAAGAGGAGGAGACACAAGACTGAGGAATGGATGATAGCCAAAAAAGTCTTAGAATCTCACAATGTCGTATAGCCAAAAAAGTCTTAGAATCTCACAATGTCGTATAGCCAAAAAAGTCTTAGAATCTCACAATGTCGTATAGCCAAAAAAGTCTTAGAATCTCACAATGTCGTATAGCCAAAAAAGTCTTAGAATCTCACAATGTCGTATTTGTTTGAAAGTCAGTAATGTTCTACTGAAATTTGCATATATTGAAAAGATCCAGTCAAGTGTATCATTTCATCAGTGTGTATCCCAATGCTTCCAACAACAACCTGATTGTTCTGACACCTGTTAATCCTTGTTCAGATTATCTTATATTGTGTCTGTGTTGCTTTTGGGGGAATGTGTCATGTAATGGGGTGACATATGCCTGTCATGTGATGAGGTGACATATGCCTGTCATGTGATGAGGTGACATATGCCTGTCAAGTGATGGGGTGACATATGCCTGTCATGTGATGAGGTGACATATGCCTGTCATGTGATGAGGTGACATATGCCTGTCATGTAATGAGGTGACATATGCCTGTCATGTGATGAGGTGACATATGCCTGTCATGTGATGAGGTGACATATGCCTGTCATGTAATGAGGTGACATATGCCTGTCATGTGATGAGGTGACATATGCCTGTCATGTGATGAGGTGACATATCCCCTGTCATGTAATGAAGTGACCCCTTCATGACAAGAGTAATGAACACCTCTCTGTCATATGACTTGATGACATCCACTCCACTACACATGTGAACTATGGAGACATCTCTATGACGTATGAACTGTAGAGCATCATGTCATGTGTCATGAGGTGACATCTTCCTGTCAACACGACGAGATGACAGTTATCTGTCACCTCAGAGCCTCCCCCCCCTAACCCCCCAATGCCTCTGTCAGCCGCGCATCAACGCTTTCAGTGTTTAACATACGTACTGATAACCCATTTTCCCTTGAAGTTATCTCCCCCCCCCCCCCCCGACTACACTGTACAGGTATATCAAGACGACTACAATTCTTGTAGTGTTGTAGAATGTGTTCTAAGTGTGTATCTTCCCCCCCTCCTCCCTCCGCTCCCTCCTGCCCCGTCCACCTTGGCCGCCCACCACAGCACCTTAAGAAGGTAGTACCACCGATATATCACTTCGAAGTGCATGATGGCTATAGGATTAGACCGTAACTAAAAGGATTACCCATGGGATCACGGTCTATAAATTATTGGATATCATAATGCTACGTCCAGATGGAATTTGGTTTTAAAATTAATATTCAATCTATTTTCTATATTTATGTTATTAGTTTATGCAGGTGGAACCTTGGTAATCTTTGCAGTTATTGAAGCTATAGTCATGGTAGTCTAAGATTACATTACATTGTTCACGATATAGAAGGTATCTAGAGTCATGAAATTTTCCGTACCCAAAAAAAAATCTAAAAGCAAGTATATATCGTAATTGATGAAACTATTAAAGATGGATACAGAAAGACTATATTCCCCCTATTAATGCCAATTTCGTTCCTTAGGCCGCACCATGAAAACGCTCTCTTTAACATCAAAGAATGTTGTCGGTATGCAGCCTTCCTTGTCAGTACGAAGGGTTTCAATCCCATCCTCCTTTGTTCTCTCTTCTCTGTCTCTCTCTCTCTCTCTCTGTCTCTCTCTGTCTCTCTCTTTTCCTTGCGTCAATGGCCCCTGCATGCAAGCTGTGTGCCTCTTCATCAACTGTTATTTTATATTGTAACTTTGCACTGAATGCTCGGCGCACCTTTGTCCAGCTTCTCTGTCTCTCTCTTATATTCTTGGTCCCTTTCTGCCCGCTTTCCTCACTGACCGAGGGGCTGCTACTGCATGTTAGGCCTACACACAAACTGCTGCTTACGACGGCTGCATTACTGAAGGCAAATGCATATTCCGATGTTTTATATACAACTTGTTCTCTCTCTCTCTCTCTCTCTCTCTCTCTCTCTCTCTCTCTCTCTCTCTCTCTCTCTCTCTCTCTCTCTCTCTCTCTCTCATATATATAACTTGACAGTGACATAAACCCTTCCCTTTCCTCTGACTGTTACCTAAGATGGCCGTCGTGGTGCCCCCTGCCTTAGGGCGTAATCTTACGAGTGGGACTTACGCCATATGCCCTACCATCTTGCTGCGATATCTCACATTAGACCTCCTAAAGTCGGCCTTTAAACTCCCCCCTCTCTCGACTTACGACCTCCGTCTGTGAATTAACGCCCCAGAGCTCGTAATCTACCTGACCTGACGTGTTTATAAAGACCATGGCCAAAGAGGCTTCATTAACGCTATAATGCACTGATTCCTCCTGTCAGACCTTCTGGAGGAAGAGGGCTGCCTTGAAAGCCACTGACATCAAAGAGGGCTGCCTTGAAAGCCACTGACATCAAAGAGGGCTGCCTTGAAAGCCACTCTGACATCAAAGAGGGCTGCCTTGAAAGCCACGCTGATATCAAAGAGGGCTGCCTTGAAAGCCACTCTGACATCAAAGAGGGCTGCCTTGAAAGCCACTCTGACATCAAAGAGGGCTGCCTTGAAAGCCACTCTGACATCAAAGAGGGCTGCCTTGAAAGCCACGCTGACTTCAAAGAGGGCTGCCTTGAAAGTCACTCTGACATCAAAGAGGGCTGCCTTGAAAGCCACGCTGACATCAAAGAGGGCTGCCTTGAAAGCCACGCTGACATCAAAGAGTTCTGCCTTGAAAGCCACTCTGACATCAAAGAGGGCTGCCTTGAAAGCCACTCTGACGTCATCGTCTGATTGGAAACCCTCTAGACTGTTCATCTTGTGAGAGAGTTGAGCCATCTGCCCAAGCTGGGTTATAATATATCAATCTCCTCTTCTCTTTTCCTCAAGTAGCGCACTGCTTTTTAGTACCTCCTTTAGAGTTCCCGTTTTCTAAACCGGGATCAGTTTGTTTTTAAATAAAATAATCCTAAATAAATTAATCACGAAATTAATAAACTAACTTTTTTTCCATTTTTTCTGTAAATATTCTTTTTTAGTATAACTCAACAGCAAATGCTAAATATTTTCTTATATTTCTCATATATCATCATATAGCGAGATCTAGTTGTTGTGGCGAAGGATATATGTCCAAGCTCATTCATGCCTTCGTAACTATTTCTTAGTGAACTAGAAGTAACTGAATGTCTTGATATATTTACTGCACCAAATGTAACGCTGTTTAACACACTTATATATCTCCATATTTGGTTTAATTTTGTGTGTGTGTGTGTGTGTGTGTGTGTGTGTGTGTGTGTGTGTGTGTGTGTGTGTGTGTGTGTGTGTGTGTGTGTGTGTGTGTGTGTGTGTGTAAGAATACCAATGTTATGTACTCTTACAAACCCAATGTACTTTCTTGTGTATAAGTGTGTGTGTGTGTGTGTGAGTGTGTGTGTGTGTGTGTGTGTGTGTGTGTGTGTGTGTGTGTGTGTGTGTGTGTGTGTGTGTGTGTGTGTGTGTGTGTGTGTGTGTGTGTGTGTGTGTGTGTGTGTGTGTGTGTGTGTGTGTGTGTGTGTGTGTGTGTGTGTGTGTGTGTGTGTGTGTGTGTGTGTGTGTGTGTGTGTGTGTGTGTGTGTGTGTGTGTGTGTGTGTGTGTGTGTGTGTGTGTGTGTGTGTGTGTGTGTGTGTGTGTGTGTGTGTGTGTGTGTATGTATGAAATTAGCTGTAAGTTCGATGCAACAGATCTCGACTATCATTTTATCTATTTTTTTATGGAATATAGATGAATATCAACAAAAAAATTTCTCTCGCGATTCGTGGCATTATCTCCCGTCTCTCGCAGCCTCTTTGCCAAGACCAAGGCTGGGATGCTGAGATCTTGCAACGGTGGAGATATGCGAGAATCTTGCAACTATTACTCTTCAGACTCCTTCCAAGATTCCAGAGACAACTCCTTCAGGTAGATGAAGATTGTGGTTTCAGTTTGTGTTCTGTTTTTTTCCTGTTTTCGTTGTTTTGATGTATTTGTTTTTGATTGGATATCTTTCATTCATTATCTGTCACTGTGTGAATATCTTTCATTCATTACCTGTCACTGTGTGAATATCTTTCATTTACTACGTGCCACTGTGTGAATATCTTTCATTCATTATCTGTCACTGTGTGAATATCTTTCATTCATTATCTGTCACTGTGTGAATATCTTTCATTCATTATCTGTCACTGTGTGAATATCTTTCATTCATTATCTGTCACTGTGTGAATATCTTTCATTCATTACCTGTCACTGTGTGAATATCTTTCATTCATTTCCTGTCACTGTGTGAATATCTTTCATTCATTATCTGTCACTGTGTGAATATCTTTCATTCATTACCTGTCACTGTGTAAATATCTTTCATTCATTACCTGTCACTGTGTGAATATCTTTCATTCATTTCCTGTCACTGTGTGAATATCTTTCATTTACTACGTGCCACTGTGTGAATATCTTTCATTCATTACCTGTCACTGTGTGAATATCTTTCATTCATTACCTGTCACTGTGGGAATATCTTTCATTCATTACCTGTCACTGTGTGAATATCTTTCATTCATTACCTGTCACTGTGTGAATATCTTTCATTCATTACCTGTCACTGTGTGAATATCTTTCATTCATTATCTGTCACTGTGTGAATATCTTTCATTCATTATCTGTCACTGTGTGAATATCTTTCATTCATTACCTGTCACTGTGTGAATATCTTTCATTCATTACCTGTCACTGTGTGAATATCTTTCATTCATTTCCTGTCACTGTGTGAATATCTTTCATTCATTATCTGTCACTGTGTGAATATCTTTCATTCATTATCTGTCACTGTGTGAATATCTTTCATTCATTTCCTGTCACTGTGTGAATATCTTTCATTCATTACCTGTCACTGTGTGAATATCTTTCATTCATTACCTGTCACTGTGTGAATATCTTTCATTCATTACCTGTCACTGTGTGAATATCTTTCATTTACTACGTGCCACTGTGTGAATATCTTTCATTCATTATCTGTCACTGTGTGAATATCTTTCATTTACTACGTGCCACTGTGTGAATATCTTTCATTCATTATCTGTCACTGTGTGAATATCTTTCATTTACTACGTGCCACTGTGTGAATATCTTTCATTTACTACGTGCCACTGTGTGAATATCTTTCATTTACTACGTGCCACTGTGTGAATATCTTTCATTTACTACGTGCCACTGTGTGAATATCTTTCATTTACTACGTGCCACTGTGTGAATATCTTTCATTTACTACGTGCCACTGTGTGAATATCTTTCATTTACTACGTGCCACTGTGTGAATATCTTTCATTTACTACGTGTCACTGTGTGAATATCTTTCATTCATTACCTGTCACTGTGTGAATATCTTTCATTCACTACCTGTCACTGTGTGAATATCTTTCATTCATTACCTGTCACTGTGTGAATATCTTTCATTCATTATCTGTCACTGTGTGAATATCTTTCATTTACTACGTGCCACTGTGTGAATATCTTTCATTTACTACGTGCCACTGTGTGAATATCTTTCATTTACTACGTGCCACTGTGTGAATATCTTTCATTTACTACGTGCCACTGTGTGAATATCTTTCATTTACTACGTGCCACTGTGTGAATATCTTTCATTTACTTCGTGCCACTGTGTGAATATCTTTCATTTACTACGTGTCACTGTGTGAATATCTTTCATTCATTACCTGTCACTGTGTGAATATCTTTCATTCACTACCTGTCACTGTGTGAATATCTTTCATTCATTACCTGTCACTGTGTGAATATCTTTCATTCATTATCTGTCACTGTGTGAATATCTTTCATTTACTACGTGCCACTGTGTGAATATCTTTCATTTACTACGTGCCACTGTGTGAATATCTTTCATTTACTACGTGCCACTGTGTGAATATCTTTCATTTACTACGTGCCACTGTGTGAATATCTTTCATTTACTACGTGCCACTGTGTGAATATCTTTCATTCATTACCTGTCACTGTGTGAATATCTTTCATTCATTACCTGTCACTGTGTGAATATCTTTCAGTCATTACCTGTCACTGTGTGAATATCTTTCATTCATTACCTGTCACTGTGGGAATATCTTTCATTCATTACCTGTCACTGTGTGAATATCTTTCATTCATTACCTGTCACTGTGTGAATATCTTTCATTCATTACCTGTCACTGTGTGAATATCTTTCATTCATTACCTGTCACTGTGTGAATATCTTTCATTCATTACCTGTCACTGTGTGAATATCTTTCATTCATTACCTGTCACTGTGTGAATATCTTTCATTCATTACCTGTCACTGTGTGAATATCTTTCATTCATTACCTGTCACTGTGTGAATATCTTTCATTCATTTCCTGTCACTGTGTGAATACTTTTCATTCATTACCTGTCACTGTGTGAATACTTTTCATTCATTACCTGTCACTGTGTGAATACTTTTCATTCATTACCTGTCAATGCACGAAAACGTTTCATTCACCACCTGTCAATGCACGAAAACGTTTCATTCACCACCTATCAATGCACGAAAATGTTTCATTCACCACCTGTCAATGCACGAAAACGTTTCATTCACCACCTATCAATGCACGAAAACGTTTCATTCACCACCTGTCAATGCACGAAAACGTTTCATTCACCACCTGTCAATGCACGAAAACGTTTCATTCACCACCTATCAATGCACGAAAATGTTTCATTCACCACCTATCAATGCACGAAAACGTTACATTCACCACCTGTCGCATTAGTCGATCTGTCGTTTATCAACTGTCTACTCTTGATGACTTGCGTAATAATATCTTTATAGTTATATATGAGTCAATAGGATCAGATTCTTTTAATTGTTTGAACCTTCCATGTCGACAGCCAACAGGAGCTGAGGGACGCCATCCAGGAAGGTCTCATGTACATGGGGATACCCAGTAGTCGTCCTCGGTCCCCACACAGCGAGTATTCTCCCAGGTAAACTGTCTCCCATGTACCTATACACCTGCCCCACACATGTACATCTACTCTTCTACACTGTGAGGTCTATATTATGCTTCTATCACTGCTTTATATACACCATATTGGCCCGTAGGTTTGGAGGGATGGGTGTGTGGGTGTGTGTGTGTGTGTGTGGGTGTGGGTGTGGCTGTCGGTGTGTGTGTGGGTGTGTGGGTGTGGGATGTCCCAGTATGCTGCCGGCTAACCATAACAATCCACTGGAACACAGAGCTGTAATCAGTGTTCCAATTTCTTCCCCTCCTCTCCCCCTCTCCCCTCTCCCCCTCCCCTATCCTCCCCATAGCAGTGTCGCCCCTTCACCCCGCCCGAGAGTCGAACCCGGTGCCTGTCGCTTGCGACACGGGGAGGCGAGCAACTGAGTCAAATCAGGTCTCGTTCTTGTTGCGTCACTTGTTGCATCATATGTTGCGCCACATCTTGCGTCACTTGCACATTCGTCGTGTGATCTTCTAGACTATTATGTTGTGCGTCACATGTACCCCCTCCCCCCCAACCGTTATATTACATATGTCCATTGCGTCACACCCTGTTGGTCACATGTTTTCCGTCACACCCTCTTGTGCGTCATACATTTTGCGTCACACATATTGCGTCACACCCCAGCTGATTTAAAAGCCATACATAAGCACTGCAGTCCATTTAATTTTCTTATGGTTCAATACATTGTAAATTATATCATTAATACATGTATATACCTGCATAAGCTTGTATATACCTGACTTTGCGTATACCTGACGTAATACATATATGACTGTATTTATTTGTGATTGCAAAAGCTATGTTAAATTAAAAGGCTATGTTAAATTAGAAGGCTATGTTAAATTAGAAGGCTATGTTAAATTAGAAGGCTATGTTAAATTAGAAGGCTATGTTAAATTAGAAGGCTATGTTAAATTAGAAGGCTATGTTAAATTAAAAGGCTATGTTAAATTAGAAGGCTATGTTAAATTAGAAGGCTATGTTAAATTAGAAGGCTATGTTAAATTAAAAGGCTATGTTAAATTAGAAGGCTATGTTAAATTAAAAGGCTATGTTAAATTAGAAGGCTATGTTAAATTAGAAGGCTATGTTAAATTAAAAGGCTATGTTAAATTAGAAGGCTATGTTAAATTAAAAGGCTATGTTAAATTAAATAGCTTTTTATGCAATGTTTACAATCTGATAATGCAGTAGGATTAACCTTATGTTGGCTTTAAATAAGTTAATTAGGGCTTGGCTTTCGTTTTTCCTATGTTGGAAGACTTGCAGTTGTTTAATTTGCCTAGTCCAAACCCTCACCTTTGTATTTTTGTATATAATAAAACACCTGCATTTGGCTAAATCTGAGTAGCCAAACACCTGCCTTTTTACGTGTGTTTTCAGCCTTGACATCTTGTGGTTTCCGTTGTTACGTGTATTTAATATTTTTTTCCGGTCAATGATAAAAGCACACGGCGTTAAACATCTGACCATGCACTATAAACACCTGAACATGCACTATAAACACCTGACCATGCACTATAAACACCCGAACATGCACTATCAACACCTGACCATGCACTATCAACACCTGACCATACACTATAAACATCTGTTAATGCACTATAAACACCTGAACATGCACTATAAACACCTGAACATGCACTATAAACACCCGAACATGCACTATAAACATCTGACCATGCACTATAAACACCTGAACATGCACTATCAACACCTGACCATGCACTATAAACACCTGAACATGCACTATAAACACCTGAACATGCACTATAAACATCTGTTAATGCACTATAAACAGCCGAACATGCACTATCAACACCTGACCATGCACTATAAACACCTGAACATGCACTATAAACACCTGACCATGCACGTTTGGTTTACAATATATGCAATAACCACATAATTGCATATGTTGCTGTTATTATCACTTAAATAACTGATAATTGCATATATTATTAATTGACATTATCACATATATTATTGCATGTATTACTGATATTAATATATTAGTATTAACGCATGTATTATAGATAATATTGCATGTATTATAGATAATAATAAAAGATTTATTATTGACTCTGTAGAATATATTACTTAAATTATAAATGAGTAACTTCTCTTTTCCCCTTTGATGCATTATTTTGTAGCTGCATTAAATACAGTTTTGTAAATACAGGAATTCATGACATGTTTAATAATAATTACTGAGTTATAGAACAAGGTTTTACTAATGTTTTACTAATCTTGTTTCTGTATAATTTTTATTGTTGTTTATTTTGACTTTAAATGAACCTAGAGGCTATAATATTTCAGTGTTTTTGTGTTCATGTTCAGCATCCTTGGGTTTGGCGGAGCATATCATCTCACTATCATCACTATACTCTCATCACTATACTCTCTGTGGTATGTTATTTACACCAGTACATCACCATCATTCCACTATCATTCTTCGCGATACAGGACACATAATGCTATCGCTTGAGATAAGAACCTCAAGAATATATATATGACAGTGTCAGACCACGGAGGAAAATTGAAACAGAAATTTCCTTAAGTACTTTCGTATATTAATACATCTTCAGAAGGAGTGAATATATATATGTGCGTTTTGCTTCAGTGATTATGCCTATGGTCATCTGCTGGCTGACGCATCGCCCTACGAGCAGCGGGGGACTCTCTGTATGCATCATCAGTAAGTTTCTGAGCATTCCTGCGCACCAGAGCGCACGTCAGAGTTTGCTCTCTGTGGGTATATTGAACAACCTCTGTGTATAGGCGCACTGCGCACTCTCACCCTAGTGTTCAAGTCTCCTAGTGTGTAGAAGGGTGTTGTAACTCGTATTTGCGTCTGCTGTTGCGTGTATGAGTTTCAAATCATGTGTACGTCATTTGCACACGCACACATACATATACACAATAGTGATCGTGTGTATAGATTCGCCAGTCGCTATGTACACATGTTTCCTCCAAATTTATCCGTAATTCCGGCATGTTACACTGGTTAAGGTGAACACTTAGTGTGTAGGTACACATCCTATACAGCTCCACACCCACGGTGTATGGCGCACACACACACATGTGATAACATCACTGGAACTAGGTGAACTGGTCCCCATCCTCTCACACCTATCAGGAACTGAGTGCATGTTAGAAATTCAGACGATGATCAGAGCGTGGACATCACAATCAGAACTTGTGTATAATAGACGGTGTGTGTGTGTGTGTGTGTGTGTGTGTGTGTGTGTGTGTGTGTGTGTGTGTGTGTGTGTGTGTGTGTGTGTGTACTCATCTAATTGTGCTTGCGGGGGTTGAGCTCTGGCTCTTTGGTCCCGCCTCAAACGGGACGTGTGTGTGTGTGTACAAGATATTCAAAGCTGCCAATCACCCATTAGCAACTGAGACATCCACCAACTACCACCAAACCATTAACCGTCATCCCACTGGCCTCTCAACACATAAATAGTTACCAGCAACCCATTGGCAAATGGATCTATGGCTATGACTTTCAGTAGACCTAAATCCACGGACTACTAAATATACACAAGCTACTAATACTGTCTTCACTACACACTGGTTCTGAACACACACACACACTGATCACCTTTAGATTCTGATTCCCTGATCACTCTCGAGATCTGATATCCTGATCACAGTTGCTGATATCACACCCTGATCACCAAGTTTCAGGATATTCTTATCTCCATCGGGTTCTGAGGGAGATCCGATGCCTACCCTCCAGTTCTAGATCACATAACACCAGCCGTCGAATGAAAACATTACAGAATGCCTTGTCCTAACCTTTTGGAACCAGTTTCCTTGTCTGCACACACACACACACACACACACACACACACACACACACACACACACACACACACACACACACACACACACACACACACACACACACACACACACACACACACTCTGCACCTCCCCAGATGTGCTCTCAACGCGTTCTTCTGTCGAAGTCCGCTCCCACGTCGACCTGATGGAGTCCTTGTCATGTGTATATTGTAAATTAAGATTCCCTTTGTGTTTCCTTTGTGAAATCCCTTCTGTTTACCTGAGTTTACCTGGGGGGTCACCATCTCTCTCTAGTGTTCTCGAGGAAGCCGGCGGCTTGTCTAACGTCCCGCCATTTTTCCTGGTGATTTTGCTTCGATTAATTCCTGCATTTTTGTTTAATTTAATTACTGTAATTTTGTTTCTACTAAATCCTCATTTTCTGAGTTAATTCTTTCGATTTTACCACAAGTCAAGAACCTACTTAACTTGACCTACTTTCGCATCCCTATTAAGTGGGATGGAGCGAAAAGCGTTACCAATTGCTGTGGTTTCGTGGAACGGAATTTGATTGAGTCTGCCTTAATCAGTGTCCAAATCTTATCAATGTTAGTACTGGTATGTACAAACTTGATCCAATCTTAAGTTACAATATTGCACAACAGTTTAAGAAAAAACTCTGATAGGGTTACTTTGTCTCATTTCAATATTATATTCATATATTATGTGTTCAATGAGGCTTTAATCTTTCATCCTTATTCTCTGACCGCTTAATCCTATTGTTTTAAGCTAATCTATACCTGCTTCTGGGTAATTCTTTCCCTGGGGATGGGTGGTCAGATTCAGTTGTTGGCCTGTACTCTTCCCCCATTGTTTCTTTTAGTCAGTCTGATTGACTGACTGGTTTGGTTGTCAGTCTGACAACGGCTTTCATTGGCCGAAACGTTCATCTTCCTTTCCCATTTCTCTGTGGATTTTCCGCATATATATATATATATATATATATATATATATATATATATATATATATATATATATATATATATATATATATATATATATATATATATATATATATATATATATATATATATATATATATATATATATATATATATATATATATATATATATATATATATATATATATATATATATATATATATATATATATATATATATATATATATATATATATATATATATAATTGAATAAGTATTGTAGATTTCATTTATCATAAACTTTTTATAAAGCATTTTATAAAATGCTTTTTCTCATTAATAAATCTCTTATTTAATAATTTGTAACAACAAAATCAAATTTATTCCATTTCATAAGTTTTTGTAAATCCTTTTTTCCCCGCACTCACTGATAAATAAGTCTTACTTGCATATTTTATTTAGGCTTTTAATGTTAAATAAGTCTATCTTGAACATGCTTTGAAGTCTAACCTGATAAACCTTCACTGACCAATTAGTGGCTTTATGCATAGTATATACTAGCTCAATGCGCCTTGTGACTCAATATGTATGTATGTACTTTTATGTAAACAAAAATATATTTATTTATTTATTTATTTATTTAAATTTCTTTCGTGCGCGTCCTTCCCAGCCCAATTATCAGTTGTTCTGAGATTAAACAATCTTCCTTTTCGTCCTCAGTCGAGACATAGAGTCGCTGGGTATAAATGGCGGGTGCAAGATCCACGGGCCCGCGGCGCTAGCGGATGACCTCGGGGTCGGCCTCAATGGCAACGTGGGGTCACCGGGCAGGGGCACGACGGAGACCGGTAGTACCCAGTACTGCCCGGAGGTCATAAAGGCCTTCGAGGGCGTCAAGTTCATAGCAGAACACACACGAAGGGAAGAGGAATCTTGCAAGGTGAGTGGTTGGCGTGTGTGTGTGTAGGAGGCTAGGTGGGGGATGGGACGGGTGGCGGGATGGCGCCAGGAAGGTGGTGGTGGGACGGGTTAGGACAGTTGGTGGGATGGTTGCCAAGGGTGAGTGTTTAGAGCGGTTGAAGGGAGAGTAAGAGGTGTCAGTTTGTCTGGTGCGTTACGCGTTTTAGGCAATTTAATAATTCTGGTAATTAATTATAATTGTAAATTGCAAGTGGAATATAGTTTTATATTTCTAAGATAAATAATTGCATGTTAACGGAAGAGTGATGAGAGAAAGGAGGGGGTGAGAGAAGGAGAGGGTGAGATAAAGAAAAGGTGAGAGAAAATGGGTGTGAGAGAAGTAGTAACAAGAGATGAAGCTCTAACACATATTGTTGTCTCCTCAGGTCAAAGAAGATTGGAAATATGTGGCGATGGTGCTTGACCGACTATTCCTGTGGATATTCACCTTGGCCGTGCTGCTGGGCACCGCCGGCATCATCCTACAGGCGCCTACGCTATACGACGACCGACTCCCCATCGACATCGTCTACTCCGAGATCGGACAAATCAGGAACCAGCCCAAGACGACATCAGCCCCGTCCAGCGTAACCTGAGGAGTCTCCACACCGAAGTCAGCTTAGAGCCTGCATCGTCGTCGGCCAGTCAGCGCTCCACTCAGCGCTGGCTAACCACATCTAGCTCAGATCTGTATCATAGCGAAACATTTACACGATTACTAGTGTATCACGGGCTCACTTCAGTACAAGGAAACATCCTATTGTACTAAAAGGTAGTAGTTCATCTCTTCCGATCTCCATTCCTCGTTTCGGTTGACTGTAGCGTAACTAAAGTGGACCGCACTTCACACGATCTGAGATTCAAGTTGTAAGCGATGTTTCGTGAGAAAGCACAACGACATTCAAGCTCAGTGCCTACAGGAAATATTGGCACAGTGTCGGTGGTGGCACTTGTGCGTTCTGTAACACACTCCCTGAAGACCGTAGGCTGCCAGGTTGCTCAAGTGTTCAGATCATAGTGGACTACAAGTAGCCTAGGTCATAATGGGCTACAAGTAGCCTAAGACAGTGTTCTTCAAGTAGCCTAAGACATAATGGACTACAAGTAGCCTAAGTCATAATGGACTACAAGTAGCCTAAGACATAGTGAACTACAAGTAGCCTAAGACTACAGTATTATGGCTGTAACGTCTATGTACCTTGTGTGAACTCAACATGCGTGCTACGTAACTCTACTTGTACCGAGCTTCCTGAAAAACTGTGGAATTTCTATTGAGTCAATATTATTTCCATATTGTAATACTTTCTTTGTAACAAAAAAAACATGTACCTTCCCACTATTGTATGTACATTGTATTTAGACATTTTATAAAGCTACTTCTGTTGTAGAACGAAGCGGGTGGTGCTCCAAAATCTATTATACACCCATCGAGTGTAGATATAAGAATGTAGATAACATAAATGTTCTACAGAAGTAACATTGCGGAGGACCCAATGTAAACATCTTTTTCGTACACTCCCCCTGTGTCATCAAGGACGTATTTACCTACGGATGAATACCATTTCGACCACATAACTTCGTTTATAGAGATTTAATACACATATACGCATACATACAACCACCAACATGCATGCGTATCAAACATACATAGGCATACAGCGAGTGTATTTTTTCCGGAATACACTCAAGTCATTCTAAAGAACCAGGACTGGTGTACAGACGAAGGAATATTATTGAGGTTAATCACAAGACGTACACACCTTCTTAGAGTACATATTGGCCAGTACACACGTACACACCTTAGTGAAGTATTTATGTACACCCTTCACCCTTAAGTTGGTTCACATTCCCTATTATATCTCTTAAGATGGTTTACTGTCTTAAGTAAACCCGTGCATCTTTAGTAGTTTACTTAAAGTATAATGCATTTTTTTTTTTTTTTGCCATAGGAGGTTGTGCCTTCCTACTAAATGCCATTGAAGTGTATGGGTAGGTCAGGTGTAGTGTATGGGTAGGTCAGGTGTAGTGTATGGGTAGGTCAGGTGTGGTGTACCAGTAGGTCAGGTGTAGTGTATGGGTAGGTCAGGTGTGGTGTACCAGTAGGTCAGGTGTAGTGTACCAGTAGGTCAGGTATAGTGTATGGGTAGGTCAGGTGTAGTGTACCAGTAGGTCAGGTGTACTGTACCGGTAGGTCAGGTGTAGTGTACCAGTAGTACACACACACACACACACACACACACACACACACACACACACACACACACACACACACACACACACACACACACACACACACACACACACACACACACACTCACGCACGCACGCGGACAAAGCTCCAGCTCATCCTAGGAAATGAACTGATGTAAACACCCAAAGAATACTGCTTGTTTTGAACCAACTCTTTCCAGTTGTACAATACCGGGTTATTTTCCTCGAAGCTCTGACTCAAGCTTTCACTTGTCACTCTGCCAATCGACCTCTCACTCAAGTTGCAGCTATAGGTGATGTGCTAGTGATTGTGAAGAATATATGTGTTTTCTAGGGTTCATTTCTGTTTAGGTAGGTTTCTGTTGGTTAATATTCAGGGGTTTCGGACCATTTCTGTTTTGTTAAGAATCTAAGTTTTTTTTAGTCTTGTCCCAAAGGTGGAGTTTATTTGGCAACGTCACTCATCCTATGAGTGAACATACTGCCATGGTGACAGTATTGGGCAGCGTCACTCATCCTGTGAGTGAGCATACCGCCATAGTGACAGTATTGGGCAGCGTCACTCATCCTGTGAGTGAGCATACCGCCATAGTGACAGTATTGGGCAGCGTCACTCATCCTGTGAGTGAACACACCACCATAGTGACAGTATTGGGCAGCGTCACTTATCCTGTGAGTGAACATACTGCCATGGTGACAGTATTGGGCAGCGTCACTCATCCTGTGAGTGAGCATACCGCCATAGTGACAGTATTGGGCAGCGTCACTCATCCTGTGAGTGAACATACTGCCATGGTGACAGTATTGGGCAGCGTCACTTATCCTGTGAGTGGACACACCACCATAGTGACAGTATTGGGCAGCGCCACTCATCCTGTGAGTGGACACACCGCCATAGTGACAGTATTGGGCAGCGCCACTCATCCTGTGAGTGGACACACCACCATAGTGACAGTATTGGGCAGCGTCACTCATCCTGTGAGTGGACACACCACCATAGTGACAGTATTGGGCAGCGCCACTCATCCTGTGAGTGGACACACCACCATAGTGACAGTATTGGGCAGCGTCACTCATCCTGTGAGTGGACACACCACCATAGTGACAGTATTGGGCAGCGCCACTCATCCTGTGAGTGGACACACCACCATAGTGACAGTATTGGGCAGCGCCACTCATCCTGTGAGTGAACATGCCGCCATAGTGACAGTATTAGGCAGCGCCACTCATCCTGTGAGTGGACACCGCCATAGTGACAGTATTGGGCAGCGCCACTCATCCTGTGAGTGGATACACCGCCATAGTGACAGTATTTGGCAGCGTCACTCATCTTGTGAGTGAACACACCGCCATAGCAGCATGTACAACACTCCCCAATAGGAAGAAAACCCGCTGGGTTGTTCATCCTGTCACTTGTACCCAGACACAGCTGGGACTTATCTGTCTCAAGTCAACAGTTATCAGACAAGAAGATTAACATTTACCAACTTATGTTATTTGATTGTTTAACTTTTATTTGACATTAACATCCTCTTTGCAATAGTGTTAATGAAAATACATTAACTGCTCAAATAGCTACAGAAGCAATGAGTACCCAGAACGTCAGTGTCGTCACTGTGGAAGGGGTTAAGATACCGGCTGAGCCACTTCCAGGTTTCCTTAAGGATATCTTACAGGTGTCAGTAGGGAGGCCTTGCCGGCGTTAACAGGAAGACATATTTCAGGTGATGTTTGAAACTCTCAGTAGTGTTAATTATTGGGATAAAGCGCTTAAGTCTGGCTATAAAGCACTTGGAAGAGACACGGGAAGAATAATCTGGGATAGTATGTAGGAAAGGGACTGTGTCAGTAGCTAGGATGTGTTGTTGATACGAGAGATACTTCTGTTGGGGTGCATCAGTCAGCCTAGCCCCAAGCCGGGGCTCAATGAGTAACAACTCCAGAAACCCTCTCCAGGTATATTCCAGGCATACATCAGGTGTGACGGCCGGTACATCACGGCCTTTTTCGGTTACGTCGGGTCTGTCAGCCTTTTAGTTCATCGAGTGCATATTCTGGTGCCTTGGTTGCATCTGTAGGTAACTTTCGTACATCTCTTGAAAAGGTGTCTCTTAGGGGTTCGTCTGTTGGTACATCAACCTATTACAAAATATTATTTTGTTGCTGTGAAAGGCGCTGCTTGTTTGTTATTTATTTCTCTGCGACAATAATTGATCATTGCTTCACAGTGATTTAAACAGTATGAATGAGTCTACATATGTCCCTAAGTTAGAAATCAAATGCATATGCAATTGTCAAGCGAGGGGCTACATCCAGGGTTGCCAGATTGGGCTACATGTAGCAAATTGGGCTACATGTAATGAATCCCCCAATGGTGAACATTCTAATTTAAACTATGTGAACAAGAGCTAGGGCATCACACGTACAGTACGGTGAGTAGAGCACAGTACTTTGAATGATTATACTCTCCAGCACTATATATATGATTGCCTTGTTATAAATGATTTTTTAGACCAAATGGTATGAGGTACTTTGAGCTCTGTATATGGAACCAAACACTTCTCCTTGAAGTATGCTGCGTTAAAATTCAGGTAAATTCTGGTAAATTAGAAGAACTTACAGCTGACATACAGCCCAGGAAAAACTTCAAACTGTTCAAGAAAGATGCCATCATTGTTTTATTGAGAGCTTGCATTTTTAGAGCTGCTTTCTTTGCATTCATAGTAATGCTGAAATTTTGAAAAGGGTGAAAACCCTGTCAACTAGTATATGCCTTAGCCACACACGGATTCAGAACCCCGATTAGTTCTAACTGAATAATGTTAGTTTAGCGAGATTGAAAGCCAATGGTTCTGGTCCATTGACTTTATCAACATTGTGAGGAACAAATTCCAGCAACTAGATCGTCATTTTGGTACGAAAGCAATAACTGCATGAATGACCTCAATGAGTTTGCAGTAAAATTATTCAGCTTACCAATCAATATTGCCCTGGTTGAACAGGTATTTTCAAGAGAAAAAAATACGTGAAATACGTGAAAACCAAATAGAGAAATCGAATAGGACCAGAGCTTCTGACATCAGTCTTGAGGATCAAAAACATATAATAATTCAAGATCAAGTGCAATGCATTTTTTTGAAGAAAACGTGATTTGTTGCTCATCAGTTGAACCATAGTGAAAACATTAATAAACCCGTTAAAATCATATAGTGTACGCTTTGTATTAAAATATATTACTGTGAAAACTTGGGTAAAAAAATAAATAAACATTGGGCTACTTTTATTACAAATTCGCTACTTTTAGTCCTGACAATTGCCAGCAAGACTGGCAGGGATATGGTCCTTTCGAACACGAGACCATTCTCCAAAACTTATTTTCTGTTTACTAAAAGCGTATATAATAATATACTAGGCTGTATTAGCAGATGTTATTCTGTATTGGCTTAGATTGGTTTGAGTTATATTAGATTGGATTGAGCTAGGTAGGTTTTAAAATTAATTGGTGAAGCGTCTTGTGTACGAAACGACTAGTATCCTTCTAGCAGCATTGGTACTTGTAACTCTTAAGACAGTTTGTTGACACCAGTTCCTTGAGACATCTTTTCTCTCCCAGGTAAGCCTATTGTGATGCCCTGGTGTAGCCGAGCTGGGTGTGGGTGCAGGACAATGGTGTCTACTTCAGGAAAGTAGCACCGATATTATATATAGCACAAAGTAGCTTTAATAGGGACAGATAGGAGGAGGAGCAAAGGTGCCCCCTCCCCCCGAGAAGTAACATGTACAGTACTTTAAATGACAAGTAGCATGTATATATGGTATAGATTGCTGCATTACATGACGATTAGTATGTATATACAGTATATATGTATGGTATAGGTTGCTGCTTAAAGTTTCAGCAAAATATTTGATATAATGTATTCCTACGTCACAGTTTCTCACTTGTGAATATCTCAAAGAATCTATATGAATGATATTTAGCTATTTTTCGACAATAAAATATTTGTAACTTTGTATCTGACGACATAAGAATTTGTGTTGATACTGTGCACTCGGCTGCCAGACCTTCCTCTGGCGGATCCTTTTGTCGTTGCATATGTAAGATTTGCAACGAAATCTTCCACATAGCACATTGAGCGGCAACAGATACTTTGGAGTTGCATACCGAAACAGAAACAGCAGCAGTATTTTATCGTAACAAAAACGAGCAAGTATTCCTTACCTAGTGCGTGTGCCTCGGACGATGTAATATTTCTTACACACAGAAATCACAATAGCTTGATGTATCAAATGAATAAATCCACAAGGGTAGTGATGAGGGTTCGAACCTTCTCACAGGATATTCTCAGCTGTGCCTTAGTCAACTGTGCCATGACATTGTAAAAAAATTGTAACCTGGAGTGCTACTGCCCTCACTCGGATCCCGAAGCTTCTCCGAAGCCCAATCGGGTTTTTGCACAATTCCCCCATGCACCCGGGCTCTGTCAACCAAATGTTCTACCTCTACGCCCATACTTCAATACACATTCTGTATTTTCTTATGTATATGATGGTGTTCTTGGCAGGTTAGAGATAATTGAGGATATGCAAAAGAAGTATGAAGAAAAAGTGCTTAAATTGGAAGAGGACAATGGAGCTCTTTGGAGTGATCTTTGCACTCTAAAAGGGAGTATTCTTCAGCAAGGTAAGATTATTACTGCATTAACAGACAAGGTAACAAATCAGGAGGAGCAAATCAAGGAACTAGTGAAAGACAATGAGGCGTGGAAAGTGAAGTGTGGTGACTTTGAAGAAATAAACAAGAAAATAGACTCATATGGTGAACAACTCCAAGCAAGCCTAAGGGCTAACATAGAGTTAGATAAGGATCTCCAACTGGAAACTTCACTGACAACTCACATAGAGGAGGTGAATAAAGAACTAGAAAAGTATAAAGAGGAAATAAAAGCGACATATGCTCAAGTTGTAAAAGAGAAAGAGACTATCAAAGAAGTGTGTTCGGAAGTCAAAACCAGAAATGACCAACAAGAAGCAGAAATTAGGCAAGCAATTAGGAAAGAACTGGTTACCAACAGTAAACTGGTACAAAACACTGCAGATAGAACTAAAACTAAGTTCATAATCATTTTTGGATGTTTAGAGAAGGAAATTTCATCGAGGGTGAACAGAGCAGCAGAAGAGATGAAAATCATAGAGAAAATAGTAGGTTTAGGAGAAGGCTCAAAGGAAAATGTCAGTGATTTTAGAAGAATAGGAAAATTTGAGAAAGAAAAGAACCGCCCCTTAAGGGTGACGTTTAATGGAGTGAAAAACATGATGGAAGTGCTAAGAAATGCCAGGAAATTGCAGAGTGATGAGGTTGGCAAACTTTGGTCAATAAGACAAGACCTCTCCAAGGAAGACAGAGAAAAGCTGAAAATGAACCTAATTGAAGCAAAACGTCTAAATGGGGATAGAAATGAAGAAGACAAATTCTTTTTTTTACAAAGTGACAGGGACTGGAAAGCTCGTGAAATGGTACATGAAAACAAAGCAACAAGATCAGTAGTGGAAGGGGAAGTAAAGAGCAAAGGAAA